AATGTTCCTAACCGCTTCTCTAGGCACTTTATGTTGATAAAGCTTAGTCAATGCAAATATAACTTTGAACTGTTTAACCCGCTCAGAGTTGTTTGCAAGAACCTAAATGATGTCTATCATCTATTCTCATTAACGGACTCTTTAAAGTCCATTAAAGCAATTTTGCTCAACAAGCGCGATTTACCTATGTCGTACTTAAACTGATTTAACCTTAGATTTTGTCATTATGAGTCGAAAATTAATTTGTTGTTAACAATTATCGGTTGCCAAGCTTATGCATGTTTGCGATGGCTTAGGGGTTCACTTGCAATTTGGTCCTGTATCGGTTGTGGGTGTGGCTCTATGCTAATTGTGTACATGCTTTTTTTTTTCTTTTTTTTTTCCTCCTTATTTGTTTTATTGTACTTATACTAAGTTTTATTATTAAATAATTTTAAGATTTACTTAAGAGTCAATTGAACTCGACTGCTATTTTGTTTTAGTTGAGTTTCTTGTATAAGTGGAATAAATAAATAAATAAATAAATAAAAAAAACATATCGTTCTCTGCATTCTGTTTTTTATCTCCCGAGTTAACGAACAAGTCTTTTAAATAATTCTGCCTTCAGTTGACATCAATAATGCCTAGGTTTATGGCTTCATTACAAAAGAAAAAGGATCCAGAAAACTTCAATCAACTATCAATCAACGAACATTACAAATCTGTCGGCGAAGAAACTTCCTGTCGGGACCACTCTTTGACGAGATGTTTAAGTCGTTCACCGTATGTATTAAGTAATGAACTTCCTCTCCATCTGAGATCAATTTACGTTGCGAGCAAAGAACCGTTAAGAGTAGCTATCCTTAATATACTTTTGAAGAGAATGAAGGAGGCTTATTTAAGTCGGCCCCAGATAGTTTACCTGATCTCACAATGCAAAGAGATAACATTTGAATATAAAATAAGAGGAAAGATGAGAAATCAAATGTTTCACTATAGAAAGTATGTATATATTTGTAGCAGTAGTATTTAATTTCTTTACTTCACTTTTGTTTTAGATAATGATGACCTAATTTTTTACATATTTGTAATATTTAATACATCTTAATAGTTATCTATTTTAATTTTTGCGTCTCGCGGTTTTTTACGTTATTTTGTTTTCAGACACTCGCAATCTTAGCTTCACGTTTCGAATTTTTATATATTCACTAAAAGAGCACACCCTTTTCTTCTTTCTTACTATTAGTTTTTTCGTTCAGCAAAGGTGGCTGCGCAATACCTGCTTAATAACTCATCCTCTAATTATTTCTCGTCAGAAATTCAAAGATATATTGATAACTCATTAATCATTGATTTTGCATTGTCTGGCTGTAGAGTGATGTGACAAACAACTCGACGAAGAGTGGAATCTTGAACATGTTCTAAATTCGCAAAGCAAAGGACGGGCTCTTTTTTCAAGTTCCGATTCAGTTTCTAATTAGCTGTGGTATCACATGGTTGGCGTTGACCCAAGACCATACATATGATCCCTCCTACTTGCTCAAAATAAGTGATCCTTCTGTTAATAGATGTGACATCTGCTTTACGGTGCCTAATACAGAACACTTTATCTTCCATTGCCTTTACTTCGATCCTTATCGAAGCAGGTATCGTTTTTTAACATAGTTTGATTCGCTGATTACTTTACTTAAGACTTTTAACGTTAAGTATTTCAAAAAACAGAATAAGTTTTTGAACCAAACTAATCGATGTAATGTAATTTATTGAGCTAGTTTTTTATGAGATATATCTGTAATTTTCTATTCTTATAGACTGTGCGAATAAAATGGACTACGAACACCAGTGGTAATCATCATTATCTTGAATTTTAGTAAACAAGAGAAAATTTTATTATTGTCAAGTGCGTCGGCGTGCATTTTTCTCGCTATCTAAAGTATAACCAGAGCTTTTCCACGTGCTCATCATCAGTGATTTTCTTGATTGCTAAACTTCATCTTTGTAGACAACTTTCTTACAAACATTTTCAACAATATTTACATTAGAATATTACAATAAAATAGTGACATAAATCTAGACAGTATTTAGTAGAAATACAATTCAAATGGCTTTGAAAAGCAAATAGGTATAAACAGGACATATGATATTTCAGGTTTATTGATGGTTTTTGTTTCATAGGAAGAAAATGTATACCAAATATTTGATTGGGATAGATTATAGTTACCTGCATTTCTATATAGTTCGTGGTAATGAGTGCATTGTATGGTATTATTAGGTGCATGCAAAAATCTTTAATAAGTTTTATTTGAAAAAGGCATTTATTGTGATACATTGGTGCAATATGCGTTAATAATAATGTTTTCGACCATTTTCTTCAATTTTTTCCCGTCTTTCTAGCAACATAGCGACACCGCGTGCACAGAACCATATTCGTTTGGCAACAATCGAATCATTGACCCAGTTTCGTTCGTCTTCAACTTTGTGGAACTGCGTGTCAGGCAAGCCATACTGCATTGATCTAATCATGAGGTAATTAGAAAGCACCATGTCTGGTGCGTACGCTGGGCAGGGCTGAACTTCCCATTCGAGCTGCAACAGTGTATTCTCGACAACTCTTGTAACGTGTTGCCGCGCGTTGCCATGCAAGAGGATGCCTATGCAGCTTTGAGTTGCTATTACTGGTATTCTCTGTAATACTTTTATTAATGTCGATATATATTTGCAGTAATAGTTTTATCCGTTTTTAGCAGCTCATAACAAACTACGTCTTGCTGATCCTACCGTATGTACAGCAAAACGTTCTGGCCATGAATATTCGGCTTCGATGTCGGTGTGGTTCGAAATGTCATTCAATGTCAGTCAATTTGTATGGTGGATATTTTGCCTACTTTCGTATCTTCGAAAGTTCTGTTTGAAAGTTCTTTGAGAATTTCAAATCGGTTTTCGTCCAATTTGTCTTGAAATTCACTGTCTTCAAACTTTTTTGATCGTCCAAGTTGTTCTCCATTATTCGCATCAAAACCATCACATTTTAACCGTTGATATGAAGAGTAACAATTGGGAAGTGATGGAGCTGCATCACCATAAGCTTCTAAAAGTGTTCAATGGACGTCGGCAGCAGATTTCTTCAAATCAAACAACAAAAGTAATAAATTTTGAAAATACAATTCCGGGCGTTTAATGATCGGTGTCTGCATACACTGAACATCTGAATAGAACTAAAATTAAAACTGTTATTTTAAGTAGAGAAAGGTCAAAACTATTGAATTTAATCGTTATGTATACAGGTATTTCTCATTTCTTTATAATTTTCATCTGTAGAAGTCGCCTATCGAAATTAACGCAACCATCTAATGTTAGGAACATGCCAATTAATCCCCACGTAGCACACTTCCTGCAAGCATAAAGTCGACTTCCGGAAAGATGTTCATAACAAACTACGTCTTGCTGATCCTACCGTATGTACAGCAAAACGTTCTGGCCATGAATATTCGGCTTCGATGTCGGTGTGGTTCGAAATGTCATTCAATGTCAGTCAATTCGTATGGTGGATATTTTGCCTACTTTCATATCTTCGATAGTTCTGTTTGGAAGTTCTTTGAGAATTTCAAATCGGTTTTCGTCCAATTTGTCTTGAAATTCACTGTCTTCAAACTTTTTGGATCGTCCAAGTTGTTCTCCATCATTCGCATCAAAACCATCACGTTTTAACCGTTGATATAAAGAGTAACAATTGGGAAGTGATGGAGCTGTATCACCATAAGCTTCTAAAAGTGTTCAATGGACTTCGGCAGCAGATTTCTTCAAATCAAACAACAAAAGTAATAAATGTTGAAAGTACAATTCCTAAAAGGACCCTGCGTCAATCTTTCGGAGAGCCCAGACGACATTCTTAGAGAACGCATCGGTGTTCGAGCTTCGTCTATATAAATGATATAATCGTATACAGCAAAAACGAATCTACCCAATCTGAAGATTTAACGAAAATATTAATATTTAGTACTTCAGAAGCAAACCACCATGAAACTGCAAATATATAAGCGCGAATTCTTCAAAACAGAAGCACAATATCTACGATTTGTTACACCTGATAATGCAATAAAAACCAGTCCAAAAGCGTAGAAACAATCCCTAAACTTTCCAGTACTCCATACATTAAAAAAACTCCACTCATTTCTAGGATTTACGTGTTACTATCGTAGATCCATAAAACATTATTCAAAATTAACAAAGCAGTGAACAGTTCTCTCGAGATGAGATAAGGGCAGAATATCATCAAGTGCATCATCAAAATTAAAAACTACATAAGACAAAGAAACTGTGCACTCATTTCAAAAATTAAAAAATATTTGATATCAAAACATATAGTAGTTGGCCTATCCAGATTTCAATAAATATATCCAATTAATTACAGATGTGTCACATCATGTAAGTAGGTGCTGTACTCGCACAAAATCACGAACCCATAACAATTTTTTATCGAACGCTTAAAAAGAACAAAACACTTTTCCACAAATGAAAAGGGAATTTTACAGTACAGACAAAATAAAAATACTCACAGACCACCCATCTTTGGCTTACGCCATGAATAATAACAAGTAAGAAAACTATATTCGGTCGTGGCGGAATCTTTTATACCCATTACCGTTATCCTAAACCACACGAAAAAAGTGAAAGAGGTACGAGGAAGTTGCAAGCGTGCTCTTTGAAAACTTTATGTCACTTCCAAATTCTTTTGCAAATTTGTACGCAACATCTCCATTTTCGTTAACGGAAGAATATTTACCACAAATACTACACAGTTGCGCAAATAGACAGATGACCAGACACACGGACGGACACGATTAAATCTAATCCAAATTTGAAACCGCCCAAGAATTTATATACTTTATGCGGTTTTTAAAGCTTGTTTCAGCGCCTTATGAAAGTATTGAAAAAGTATTAAATTTTGATACTCTATAACACTGGGTAGGCGTGGTCAATTTTTTCCATTTTTGCACAGGTGCCACAGCATTACCCATAGAATATGCATTTAAATTTTTGTTTATTTATCTAGTTCTTGAGTAATGAGAAAAAAACCGATTTTGTATTTCCTTCTTTCGGTTTGCGCTTGCACCGATTTGGCTCATTTTCGATACCAGCCTGCGTGCAAAAACTTCCCATGGTTCTGTCGCATTTAAAGCCGATAACTTTATTTTAGCAGCCAAGAGAATAGTTCAAACAGACATTACACAGACGGACATACTTAAAGCGTTTCAGAATTTGATGCTGATCAAAAATATACATACTTTGTGGGGTCTCTGATGCTTCCTTTTGGGCGTAGCAACCGTTTTGACAAAATGAATACACACGCAACAATTCGATAAGGGTTAAGGCCGAAGAAACCTTGTCCTTGGACCTTAGAAATGGTCCGAGGAATGTTAGCCAATGCGTACATTCCCAGCTCAATTTATCGTAATTTCCTTTTATGCTCGTGGGGAGCACTGCGACGCACAAAAACGACGGCCGTTTAACACGTTCTCAAAACGAGTAAGTAAAGTGTCTAATATTTGCAGTGTTAAGTAATCTGAAGTTTTTTATCTTAGCAACTTTTTTCTTCGCTAATGACACCTTACCGAAGCTCGGCTGATCCCCTGAAAAAAATGCAACGAAATCCATTGCATTGATTAGTACTATAAAATTTAGTATTTCGAAAATCGAACTACAGCTTTAAACATTTCTCTAGCTCACTGGTGTTTTAGAAGATAAGCGGAAGAGCCCCAAGAAGCTGACCACAGCCACAAACACTTGTACAGCGCGGCACAACATTTCAGCCCACTACGAAGTGGAAGCAGACCATTTGAATACTCCAGTACCGGCGATCTATGAAGATAGTGGTGTTGACACTTGTGTTCTCAATTAAGATATTTAAGTGAACAAGGATTGCTAGCACAAAATTTATAAGTATTATAACAAACATTGAAAGAACTTTTTTTATATACTGGTAATTAAATGTAAATTTCTTGTAAATAGTTTATGATCGTTTTATTTATAATTTTAAGGTCTAACATAAATTCTTTTTTTTTTCATTTAATTTTACATCCTTGCTATTATTTACCATACATGCTTTGCTTACACAAACAATGTTAATGTGCTTATCATTTATACTCCTGTTTCAGTTACCAATTAATCCTAACAGAAAATTAGATAGGAAGTATTGAAAAGGGGGCGACAATGGTACATGGTTAGCCTCTTAGCGATCATCTCCAAAAAAACAAAGCGATAACCACGGCGACAATCGCCTGCTTACATGACTACCACGGGTTCATTTTTGCTTTCACAATTTTGTACTGACAATAGTAACAAAAGTCGATTTTTGCAATAATTTACTAGAACAGTTAAGTCACCATTGTACACGGTAGTGATAATATTATATTCCATCGCATTTAAATGTTTAAGATAATAATTTATTTATAATTTTCAACAAGAACATTAAATAAAGAAATTTTAAATTTAAAAAGTGCAAACATTTTTATATTTGACAATTTACAAATTTTAGTTAACAAATAAAAACGTTTTCAACAATAAAGAAAACTCAGCTGCTTTCGGCTTTGTACGTTTTTGTTTTCGTTTGAGTTGTTCTCAACTATATTTGTTCATTAGAGATTCCTTTAGCTTCTTCAAGTTATATGGCTGTCTCCTCGATCTCTTTGCAGCAAAAAATGTACGTCATCTCGGGGAACTAACTTGCTTTATTAGAAAAGCCAATTTATCCTTTTAGAATTTTTCTTTTTCCTCCTCTTTCCTTTTTTTTTTTTTTTTGTTTTTGCTTTTTTTGCGTTCAATCATTTTCAATTTCCATGACATTCCTTTTCGTTTTCAGCCAAAGTTTGCAACACTGTCTGACTTTCAAGAACTCAACAAGCACACTTACACACACACACACACACACACACACACACACACACACTTAACATACTCACTCCAGCTATTACGGCCGCTCTTATATTTTTGTTACGGTTTATACATAATCGTGACTAAAAATTACAACAGTTTATTATTTTGACATATAAGCCACAAATCTATTGGCTTAGTCCATCTCTGTTCAACATACCAAAAAAAAAAAAAAAAAAACTATATTTGTTTGTTTGTTGTTTGGTTTTGCTTCCTTTTGATACTCACTTGACATTGACAAAAATTTTACTTTCATACCTGCAAATTATTTTCATAATTTCATTTGGTTACTGCTATTATTATTTCGTTTATTTGCTAATAAATGGAACGAGTTGGATGGATGATTGCACAATTTACAAATACAAATACAAAAACATTTCAATATTTCTCGGCTCTTACACTTTCAATAATTGAGATTTTGTGTCATTGTATTAATAAAATAAAAATTTTTGTTGTTACTTGTGGTTTGGAGCTCACGGAATAATAGATATTCTTTCCCTTTTTCTTGTTTATCTTGATTAATGTTCAATTACATTTTTTTTTGTCATCGGTCAATATTTAATTTACCCGCGCACTCATTTTAACGCACTCTCTTGTAAATATATTTACAAAATATATCGACAATGAATAAATAAACAAATATAGTGCTGTTGGAATAACATCAACACCTAATCAGATTTAAATATTTTTTGAGGCTTTCTTTTTGATATTCAACTACCGGTCGATTTTTTTTTTTTTAATAAATTAGTTAGCAGGTACGACATACAATTTTGCCAAATTTTTTTCTTGCTTTTACCTACTTTGCACCACTATTTCTTGTTTTCCTTTGTTTGACGAAAATCAATATCATTTTTTTAAATTTAATTTCGATTGGCCTCATTCGATTGCATCTCCAATTTGTAGATGCATATCCATATATAAAATAAATTCTCATCTATTTGAATTTCAAATATTTCATGTTTTCTGTTTTTCATTTTAAAACTGGAAATTTGAATTCCAGCAAATACAAAAACTACATGATTTCTGAACATATAAACAAAAAGTTGAAAGGTATAATGAAACAAATTATAGATTTGTTGCTTTACCACATTGATGTTGCTGTAGTACTTCTTAACAGTGATTTAATTGAAGAAGTTTTTATGAAGCAATCTTTTCTTTTTCGAAGATAAGCTAAATATTTAATAAGCCTGTAAATTAAAACGGAAGTTGTATGACTTGAAACCACCTGTGTGAATATTGAATGCAAAAATGACATGAATTTTATTAGTTGTGGGTTTCATATTGGGAGGACGAAAGTCACAACTTCCTTTTGGTTCTACAATGAATCATAAGCAGGTCATATGTTTTTAGCGTAATATAATTAATTTTTACGTATAGTTAGCTTTTCTTATATATATCACTAGTTAAATATTGCAGACACAGAGCTGTCTATTTTATAGTTGCAATTCTAACACCAAGATGCCCGGACTAGACTGGCAAGTCCATTGCTGTCTACATAACAAAAAATTTTCTAAGAAACCAAGCATTAAAAATGGTAAAGGTTCATGATTTTTTACCTGCCGACGCATCCAACAACTAGCGCAAATCTTAACAATTCCCAGGATATTTCAAATGTAAGAAGGAGGAGTACTAAGATTAAACTAAAACCACGGCTGAGTGCGCAACTGGAGAAAGGCGAAAAGAACATTTAAGTACACGAAAGCTTAGCTATTATCTTTTTTGCTTTTTGACCGTAGGACCTAGATCTAGGAAGTAAATAAAAGAGGTTTTATGTTTATAACTTCAACAGATTGTGAATTTCGTAAATGCTTACAAGTTTTGCGCCTATTCCGTTTACGTAGAGCAAATCAAAAATATAATCTATTGTCATTAACTAAAAAATTTTAGCCTTTTATCTCAACATTTTCGATACAAATTGGTTTATCTTAATGTCAGCATATAAGAGCGCTATCCACGCAAGGACAAATGTGTCGTACAACCTCATGCTTTCGCGTTAAAAATAAAATTCAAAGTTAGCTTTGCTAACGGTCGATAATAATCTAACTAAATTCCTTTCTCAATAACCTGAACTGAGCACAACACAGCAGACTGAATTCAGTTCACATATTCAAAAAAGATTCAAAGCTAATTAAAATTCTCATACCACAGTCGGATTCTGGGGTACTCCAAATAGCCATGATGTGTTAGGTTTAGCTTGAGAAATGCTATTAAATGATGATCCTTCTGGAGGAGTTAACGCAATCATGTTTGTATTTTTAGTTTCGAAATCATTTACGTTAGTTGAAGTTGTATCATTTAATACTTTTGTTTCGGTGTGATAACATTTTAACGCTTCTGTGATGAGATTTTTTTGCTGATTGCGGCAACTATCTAGGCGCGACTGATGTTTATCAAAATTATTTTTGATATCAAGGATTTCATCAACTGCAGGTTTGTCAATGATCTTAGGAGTTTTTCTTCCCTGACGTAGGTAAACCACATCTCCATGCTTAGCTTGCGTATGATATTCCGCTTGACATAGTTGCTGTTGCTGATTTTGATGATAGTTACTATTTTGTAATTTTTGCCTTTGTTTACGTACGGCTTCGTAATTTGTCAAATCTTCCGGGGTTTTTTTTGTAAAACTGCGCGCTATATAATAAGGCGGCGGTTGGAGTAACTGATATTGCATATCCGGAATGGAATGTGTATATTGGGCGTTATCAGTGTTTAGCAGGTGTGGTCTATAATAACCCCTACTCGTTAAATCGGAAAGATTTTGACCTTTCCTAAGAACTGGCACAATGTCTTGTTGGCAGTTGTCAGAAACGCCCCTGTCAATTTTATTACAAAAAGCATGGGTTGTAGAATTTTCTGTAAAAGTTTTTTGATACCAACTATCGTTGCTGGCGGTTTTTAGTATATGTTGCAACACATTATTACTTTTTTTGCATAACGTAATACCACAGTTCGTAGTATATACTACTGGACTATTGTCATCAAACAATTGCGTTGATGTTTCTTGAGCTGCTCCTATAAACATTTTATTGTTCGCCTGTATACTATTGACGTAATTTCTAGAACGGAGGGTCGTTTCATTCGAGCTGCAATGTAACGCACTAAAATTTTCGTTAACAACATTAAAATAATCGCCTACCTATTGCTGAGATGATGGCAATTTTTGTTAAGCCTAGCTTCAGAGAAGTTACTAAACCTCCTCGCAGAGCAGGTGTTAACCCATTGCCCATTTCGCACGTAATGTGACATTAATCGCAATTGTTGTGGATAAGGCGTAGGCGAACGCGTTAAAACATCTTTGGGAGCTTCAACCATCTTAGCGTTTGCTTTAACACCCGCATACGGTAAAGTGCTTAATGAAGTGGACAACGAAGTTTCTTCTTCCGCGATATTGATATGTCTCAAATTACCACCTGACCTAGAAACGGCGCATCTATCAGAAGCTGAGAGTATTACAGTTTGTTCGGCAAAACATATACGTCGCATCTGACCCATAAAACTGTTGGCTGGTTTTACCAGCAGTTTGCGTTGTTGATCTAAGGTGTGTTCACCTTCACATATGTCGCCTTTCGCCTTTGTCACCTTATTTCGATAAGATGTAGAATCATGTTGTGGCAACATAAAACAAGTCAATTGTGTTTTCGTGTTGACATCTGTATATTGAAGTGGCACGAGCGGTTTCGACTGATTATCACTCATCCATAAAGAAGTTAAGCTTACCAAACTTAATACAGAAGCCGGCAACGTTGAAATATGATTTTGAACAATATTCAGAACTTTCAACTGAGTTAATTGGCCAATATTTTGGGGTAATCCGGTAATTTTATTGCGGCTAATACTAAGTACTTTCAAATTAGTGCATTTGCAAAGTTCGTCTGGTAATATGCACAAATCGTTGCTGTCAGCAAATAAATAACGCAATTTCTTAAGCATTCCTGCAGTAATGAATATCAAAGTTAATAAATGAAGCCCCCGCCTCTTTCGTAAATCGAAAAATTCCATACCTATGGTAGGAGGCAAACGCTTCAATTCGTTATAGCTTATCGCCAATTCCTCAAGATTTTCTAAATTTAAAATACTCTCCGGCAGCTCTTTCAATTTATTAGATTCACACTTGAAAGTCACTAATGATACCAACATGCCAATGCTAAAGGGAAAGGCTACCAAATTGTTAGCGCTAATTGACAAAACCTCCACATTCACCCAATTGGTAATATCATTTGGAAAAAAATTAATTAAATTGCCGTTCGCCTCTAGATGTGTTAATTCTCGTAATTTTGATGTATTTGATGGTACAGAGCGTATCTGATTAAAATCTATCCAAAGCTCACGTAGTTGCTCTAATTCTCCAATCACTTCAGGCTACAAAATGGATTTCAGTCAAATTTTTAACTAATTGGGTACCTACTATATTTGCAAAGAACAATTGTGCACAGGCTTACCAAATCTGTGAACTCGTTGCCGCCCAGGTCGATGCGTCGCAAATTTACGAGACGAGTCATTGATTTAGGCAAGGATACCAAATTGTTTAATCGCAATTCAACAATGCGTAAATTGATCAAGCGTCCAAAATTAGCTGGCAAAAACTCCAAGTAAGTTTCGTTCAAGAGTAATTCTTGTAATGAAATCAGTGACGTTATAGCATCAGGCAAACGTTGTAAACTGTTACAACTCAGATCCAAATGTGTTAAATGCTTACACGATCTTAGGTGATCTGGTAAAACGGATATAACTGAAAACAATTAATAATTATAGAAAATTTTGATTCAATTAAGTTAAATTTAGAAACGAACGAACAGTTTCGACTTAAGCTTAAAAGCTCTAACTGGCGCAAAGAACCAATGGCTTCCGGTATTTTGTCCAAGCTGTTATTATTCACACACAAAATCCTTAAGTTTTGGCAATAAAATAATTGAATTGGTAAATTATTGATCTGTGAAAAAAAAGCAAAAGGAATTTTATATAGCTTGAGCGGGATCTTTTGACACTCGCCGAAAAGTGAAAGTACGAAAGGGTGGGACTTTCGTAATGTAGTTTATATGTAAACTGGACTTAAACAATGTTAGCAATTTATTTATCTAACAAATCCTAACCCTCCGCTAAATTTCAGCTCAATATTTACTACGATTACGAAATATATTTTGAATTTTTGTTAGTTTAATCTATTTAGTATAGTTATTGTCAGAACAATATTACTTGCTATCTAAACAAATTCGCTTATGAAAAGTCAAAATTGGTAAAAATAGTTGAATACAGAGTATAGCCACGGAATTTTAACCCTACTAGCGAGTAGTGTAAGAGCCCGAATTAGTACTTAATTTTAAGGGCCAAGTTACTAAGAGTGCAATAACTGCAATCATGCCATCTTAACTGTCTCTTAAATCTATCCGCCCACTGTATATCATGGCTAGAGTCATTGTTTTCAAAGGCACTACATATTAAGATTGTGGAAGCGAAGACTATAATATACTTTAATTTCATTCTATATTCGAACTACATTCTGTTGACATTTCACATTGACTAACATTAATAAAAGTTTGAACAATGACGCAATTAGCAATTTTTTGGATCTATACTGAATTTATTTATGTACGTGTTATAATAAAGGGCATCAGAAAAAAATTTACTCACCCGTGTAGAATTTAAATTCAATTCTTCTAAGGTACGTTCATGTTCCCAAATCTGAGGGAAAGTTTCCAGTAAAACAGTATTACTGTAATCCAGTTTAATAACAACCTCTTCCTTCTTAAATTGCAAACAAGGAAAGCACTCCGACAAGGACATTTTAAGAAATTTCAGGAATCTGTCAACGTGCGAAACTATTGCAAGTAAGTAAAATCTTAAACCTCGCTTTATATATAGCATATAAAGAAATAGCAACACAATTTGAAGTCATGATTATTCATAAGAATTATTAACATTACATTAACAAGAATTTAATTGTGAAAGGTAGGAAAAAAAACACAAGGTAAAATAAAGTAAATAGAAGCAGACCTACCCCGCACGACCGTTACTGTAATCTCATTCGGAATAATGCTGACCGATATATTATTATTCGTATCACATAAATTTGTATTAAAATTTAATAAATTGGACATGTCTACAGTCAACAAATTTCCCGAAGTTTTTTTTATATGTTTTAAAGATGAAACCATCTTTGCAACGGAAATATATAATTTCATTTAATCATGCATATGAAACATTCAGCAGAGCAAGATTCACATAAAAATACCCTGAAGAATAAAACAGGTGGGTTTTTTTACGATAATTTTCCTCGAAATTCCCCTGTACATATTTTTGCATTCACTCACTTTATTGCAAAGTGTAAATAATTTATTGATCTTAACAAGCCCTCCCTATCCTTGACATTTATCGCGTTAATACTAGGTAAGATCCACAAGCAGAAAACAACTTAATAATTTTGCAGCAGTCGCAGCGGGTCGATTTCCAAACACTTATCATCAAAGTTAAATGACTTCTTCATGTTTATTAAAATGAAGAGTCCACGCTACCAAATTTAGATGCATATACATTCTTGCTGTTGATCTACATAGAGTAGATAAGCAAACCTTTTTACATTGTTCTTTCTTTCTTATTCAATAAACCATGGACAAAAAGTGCCTACATGTACAACAGCCAACAATAATTTTTTCTACGTAATAATCACTTTTCGTTCATAAACTTCAATACTTGATAAAAGAATGCTTGGACTTTCGTCCATTTTGTCATATTTTCAACGTTAAAATACTTTAATAATCCATTAGTAATTTTAAATTAAACACTTAATTCTTTTTTTATATGTGTCGTTAAGAGCAACCATGAATTATTACTTAAGTAGACTAGACGTCTTACGACAAACACAGGGGTCACTGAAACGACATTCATTTACGCGCTTTACTAGATTTTATTCATAGATACTACACAATCATTGTATTGTGTCTTGATTTACTCATTCCAGAGAATTAAGATGGCAAGGCGGATGATTTAGCGGTGTTTCTGTTGTATATTGAATAGAATTCGTATAAATATTCGACAAAACACGGTGCACAATTCATACAGAATTAGTACTTCTAGTCATTTCGCTAAACATATGATTTCTTCAATTTGCAAAACATCGATGTTCAAAATAGCATAAAATGGAAATTGATTTTCTTAATAAAAAAAAAAAAATTGATTTATTCCATAAGTTTCTACTATAAATATTCATTCCAATTTTTCTAAATAATTTTTAAATAAGCCAGATTTTGCTATGTTTTCTTTTAACTCTCTGTATATTACCTTTTTTTCACATAATCCATTTTTTATAGTAGCAGATGTTCTCTTTTACTACTGGCATAGTGGTTTATATCCTTGAAACCTTGGCGTCGTCTCGATTGAAACAATTTCATATACGTTTTCATTTGTACAGCAAATTTTACATAGCTTGTGATAAATAGACCAATTTTATCAGTTTCACAATAAAAATAAGTAAATGTACTCTAAAGATGATCCTATTTATATATTCGAGTTGCGCGATGTTGCAATTATTTGTTACTTAACCTACGTATATTCTCTCATTCTAATAATACGTTTTGCTTAACTCTATTCTCATTTTCCGCAAATGCGTAAGATATACAGCCTTAATTGCGATCTGCAACTGATCTGTGTGCCCATCGGTCGTCTCTCTCGTTGAGTTTATAAATAGTAGCACTTATTTTAAAGCTTGGTTGCTGTGTAGTCATCTTTAATCTAACTGTTATTAATTCGCTACTTCTTTGAGACAGTTTCTTAAATTCTTGGTCATTACATTTTTTTCGGCTTCTTCTATGTGGTTGTGCAGCCAATTCGCGATTCGTATTTTGTAGCTTGTAACTCGTAATTTATAAGTGAAAACCTGTCATATATAGTGTAATGCTGCAACATTTCCTCTCTTAGAAGGTTTCTTTATCATATTATGGTATGATCTATATTGTATTTTCAATTATTGATCCTACACTCAGGAATTTACTCTGTAATACATCTAATTCTCTTTTTGCTCGTGCAAAAAACTGTATTGGCTAAAAAGAAAAATAGTAGATTGGTTCCAGATCTAAAAAACACCTGAAAAGTGAACCACTCACAGTAAATAATTTTTACATACAAAATATAGAAACAAACGACCATGCACCAGTATATATAAAAAACTATAAATTACCCCACAAAAAAGCGATCCAGGTAAAACAATTATTACAACAAAACAAGTGGTGGGCTAACTAGCCCCAAAAAAATCAGACAGACATAAAAAAATGGCGACTAGTAGTTGACTACAGAAAATTAAACGAGAAAATAATAAACGACAAATTCCAGACAGACTCGGACAAACCGACGTAATCAAGCATTTCTAGAGCTCCAAAACAATTGGGTAAGGGTTATGGAAATAAAGTAAGTAAATAAAGAATATCCTATTTTCCTTAATAGAGAAATAATGAAGTTTCGTAAACTAATTATAAAAATAAATAATTACAGTCTTGTTTCTAAGTAAATATCATGTTTGTAAAGGAAGTTTTTCTCTGCTTTGCTCTAATGTTCTTTTTAAGACTTTTTTCACGTCTTTCACAAATTGTCGTTTTGTCTCCACTTTTCTCTTCTTTTACAATAATCTTTTTCGTTTAAAATTAGCATTACTGTTCTTGTCCATAAACAACAACTTGGCATCATTTACTAATGAATTATACGGATTTGACACATTTGTATATAGACTTGTTAAGGATATTGCAGTGTGGTCGCCTACCGTCGTATGCATCCACTTTGAAGTGTGACAGAATTATGCTGAATTTGGATAATTCTGTAGCAAAAAAAAAAAGAAAAACAAAAAATTTGTCGCACTTCACCTGGCTGAGTATTGCATCTCGTAATGCAATACGATGCCAGGCGCCACAATTAAAAAGTCACCATTTCTGTTAAGGTAAGCATTATTTAGTATAGCAATTAAATATAAATAGTGTACATTTTCAATAAAGGAATTAATTGTTATCAAAAGCAATTCACAAGCGTGTTAACCCGCTTAAAAATATAAGGCGTTCAATCCGCCTAATATGCAAAGACTGCTTTATGCCGAGCATTATTGGCATTACTAAAAAGCAGAAAGACTTGGCGTACTGAAGCCGAGCAGGCTAGGGCTCTAAAACAGTAAAACTTACCTTCACTTACCTACACCTAGGGAAGGAATCATAGGGAATCGTCTCAAATACTGCAACGCATTTTTCTACCACTACACGCCGTTGCAATAAGTTCTTTCATTTTTATTACAATATATATGATTATAACACGAATTTGTTATGAATTTGATATCAAATAACGCTATAAAAGATCGATTCGGTCATCCATTTCAGCTAACACTAGGTGCTCTCTGAAACTTGTGTATTTTTGTGTCACAGATGGATTCAAACGTTTGAGCTGCTATTTTTTGAAATACAGCTTATGGTAACAGTACACTAGATCTATCCATCTGACTAACTAAGATCATGTGGAAAACATTCAAAGTTTTATGAAATAAATTAATGGCTGTAGTAATTATCAAGATATATGAATAGAACAATAAAGGTGAAGATTTTAATAACATGAAAATTTTCTCATTGCCAATCCATAGCTTAAGGTAAGGACGGCAAATCCACATTAGAACAAAACAAATTTTTTTAGTATCATCGTGATTATTTAATAAAGGCAATTAATATTATATAATCCGATTGCCTCTCTTCCTCACTATGAAAATAGGTTGCTTCTGTTGTCCTTACCTAACG